GATGGTTTTAAAGCAACTTTTAATGTGAATTTAAGTGATTTTAATGTTTGTATATATTTATGGTTTTATGACCCGGCATCAAATGTTTGCCATATATATGTTGTGCTCCACCCTGAGTCCCCTTCGGGGTGAGAAGGGTGGAACATAATTTTTTAAAAATAAATAAATAAAATTACAAATCCTAGATATTATAGAATGGAAACATGGCAGTTAAAGTTGAGTAACAGCACTCTCATTCTGTAGAGTAAATGGCCGTTGGGGGATTTGAACTTTAGAGAGGTGGTAGAACTCCCTAAACTACAAATCCCAGGATTCTATAGGACTGAACTGGAGCAGTTTGTATCATTGTACTATAACAGGTTACTTAAGCTGCTACCATGAATACAGTATTAGGTTAAGGTTTCCCCTTGACATTAAGTCTAGTCGTATCCAACTCTGGGGGTTGGTGCTCATCTCCATTTCTAAGCCAAAGAGCCCGTGTTGTCCATAGATGCCTCCAAGGTCATGTGGCCAGCATGACTGCTTGGAGCGCCATTACCTTCCCATCGGAGCAGTACCTATTGATCTACTCACATTTTCATATTTTCAAACTGCTAGGTTGGCAGAAGCTGGGGCTAACAGCAGGAGCTCACCCTGCTCCCCGGATTCGAACCTGCGACCTTTTGGTAAGCAAGTTCAGCAGCTTACTCCGCTGTACCCCCAAATGCTCCCTTAGCAAAAGATATCATGAGAAAATTATGAGTAAAGAGATGATTTAGTAATTTGGTTTTGCCTGAGCTTACTAGGAAGGGAATGATTGCACCTCCCTCTCCTCCCTTGATTTAAGTGAGTGAAATTATTTTGCATTTTCAACCGTTTACAGTAGTTTGCAGCAATTGGTTCTCATCTCCATTTCTAAAAGCCAGCAATGTCCATAGACACTTCTATATATTTATTTATGACATTTATATGCCGCCCTTTTCACCCCGAAAGGGACTCAGAGCGGCTTACAAGATATATATATATATCGTTATAACATCTGTTATAGAACTCCAGTATGCTGATGATGTCGTCTGTGCGCATTCAGAAGATCTACAAGCCACTCTAAACACCTTCGCAGAAGCATATGAGGAGCTCAGCCTGTCACTGAACATTGAAAAAACAAAGGTGCTGTTCCAGCAGACACCAACCAACCCCTCTCCAATGCCAGAGGTACAGCTTAATGTTGTAACATTAGAAAATGTTGATCATTTCCGCTACCTTGCCAGCCACCTCTCCACCAGTCAACATCGACACCGAAATACAACACCGCCTGAGCTTTGCGAGCGCAGCATTTTTCCAAATGAAGCAGAGAGTGTTTGAGGACTGGGACCTCTGTAGGGATACCAAAGTGCTTGTTTATAGAGCTACTGTCCTCCCAACCCTGCTATATGCCTGTGAGACGTGGACAGTCTACAGGCATCACATGCAACTCCTGGAATGATACCCTCAGCGCTGCCTCCGGAAAATCCTGCAAATCTCTTGAGAAGACAGGTGGACAAATGTCAGCGTGCTGGAAGAAGCAAAGACCATCAGCATTGAAGCGATGGTCCCTTTCCATCAACTCCGCTGGACCGGCCACATTGTCCGGATGCCCGACCCCCGTCTCCCAAAGCAGTTGCTCTACTCCGAACTCAAGAACGGAAAACGGAATGTTGGTGGGCAGGAAAAGGGATTGAAAGATGGGCTCAAAGCTAACCTTAAAAACTCTGGCATAGACACTGAGAACTGGGAAGCCCTGGCCCTTGAGCGCTCCAGCTGGAGGTCAGCTGTGACCAGCAGTGCTGCAGAATTTGAAGAGGCACGAATGGAGGGTGAAAGGGAGAAACGTGCCAAGAGGACGGCGCGTCAAGCCAACCCCGACCGAGACCGCCTTCCACCTGGAAACCAATGCCCTCACTGCGGAAGATGCAGGTCAAGAATAGGGCTCCACAGCCACATATGGACCCACAAGAACACTGGAAGACAATCATCCTCGGAAAGCGAGGGATCGCCTAAATGGAATATATATATATATATATACACACAATTTATTATATTATTAGCATAGTACATTATCAGTATTAAATATTACTATATTGTACTATACCATTATATTGTATTATTAGTAATATAAATATATAATTATATCATATTGTTATTAGTATTATATTGCATTACATTATATATATGTATATACAATATATTATATTATATTAAATACACTTCAATGTACTTAACCTACATTCTGAAACTGCATTGTATGGCAATGTATAGCCTCAGTTGGGATGATGGAAGTGTTTCAGTTCAGAATTTAATACAGTTACCCTGCACTAGATTTCTCATTTAAGGAGAAATTTTTCCAAAGGCTGGGGAAGATGTGCTTCACTAGATGTTGTCGTCGAACTCCAGTTCCATTAAGCCAGTGGAGAGGAAGGACAGAAGCAGCAATTCATCAACATCTGGCCTCTTTTCAAAGCCATGTCCCTCTGACTAATCCATGAGCCTGTTAAGCCTGATTCTATTTCCTGATTTCTGTCTGCAAAGGATGTTTTGTATGAGCAATCTTCAGTCTGAGCTCTAAGCTGTGACTGGAAGTGATACAACACAAGTGGAAATGAGGCTTCTGGAAGGAAGCATGCCTTCAAGAGCTGTCCATAGCAGGTTTTCACAAACAGGTGAACATTACATGTCTGGGAATAGCAAATCTCTAGTATAGTATAGTATAGTATAGTATAGTATAGTATAGTATAGTATTAGTCCAGAAGTAAATTAGTTTCTCAAGCCACTTCTGACATGATAAAAAATGTATATTGGTATACTATGAGATATACCGTATCTGGCCACGGTGGTCCATGCTCTCGTTACATCTTGAATAGATTACTACAACGCGCTCTACATGGGGCTGCCTTTGAAGACTGTCCGGAAACTTTAAGTAGTCCAACGAGCTGCAGCCAGATTACTAACTGGAACAACATACAGGGAGCATGCCACCCCCGCGTTGTCAGCTCCATTGGCTGCCCGTCCAGTTCCAAGCAGAATTCAAAGTGCTGGTCTTGACCTATAAAGCCCTATATGGTTCTGGCTCAGCTTACTTGTCTGAATGTATCTCCCCCTACGTCCCACCTCGAAACTTATGATCTTCTGGGGAGGCCCTGCTCTCAATCCCACCTTCATTGGTGGGGACGAGAGACAGGGCCTTCTCGGCGGTGGCCCCCAGCCTGTGAAACTTGCTCCCCAGCAAAATTAGGTCAACGGCTTCCCTCCTTTCCTTCAGGAAAAAGTTGAAGACGTGGCTATGGGACCAGGCATTCAAAAATCGGGCTGACAATAAAAATGACGACAATGCTATGGAAAATGGACTATAGACAGGCTTCAGATTAAGTTGTTGATTGTAGAACTTGGACTTAGACATGCCAACTAATTCAATTTGTGCTATTTTAAATGGTTTTTAATTTAATTTTAATGACTTGCTTATTATCTAACTGTTGTTTTAACTCAGAGGTGCACAAACGTTTTAAACAGAGGGCCAGGTCACAGTCCCTCAAACTGTTGGAGGGCCAGATTATAATTTGAACAAACATGAATGAATCATAGAATCATAGAATTAAAGAGTTGGAAGAGACCTCATGGGCCATCCAGTCCAACCCCATTTTGCCAAGAAGCAGGAATGTTGCATTCAAATCACCCCTGACAGATGGCCATCCAGCCCCTGTTTAAAAGCTTCCAAAGAAGGAGCCTCCACCACACTCCGGGGCAGAGAGTTCCACTGCTGAACGGCTCTCACAGTCAGGAAGTTCTTCCTCGTGTTCAGATGGAATCTCCTCTCTTGTAGTTTGATCCCTATGCACAGTGCACATATCTTATTTGTAGCGCAAAAATACTTAAAAAGAATACAATAATTAAAATGTATGGGCCTGCTTTTGGCTGATGAGATAGGATTGTTGTTGTTGTTGTGAGCTTTCAAGTCGTTTCAGACATAGGTTGACCTGAGCGAGGGCTGGGTAAATGCCCTTTGAGGGCCGTATCCGGCCCCTGGGCCTTAGTTTGAGGACCTTTGTTTTAGTTGATTGTATATAGGGGGCTGTTGTCAGCTATAATCTGCCCTGAGTCCCCCTTCGGGGGGTAGAGCAGGGCAGGGTACAAATATTTGAAATCTATATAAATAAAAATGTAATGTTCGTTTGTGGGATTAGCATAACTCAAAAACCACTGGACGAATTGACACCAAATTTGGACAGCATACACCTAACAACCCAATGTATGTCCTTCACTCCAAAAAATTTGATTTTGTCATTTGGGAGTTGTAGTTGCTGGGATTTATTGTTCACCTATAATCAAAGAGCATTCTGAACTCCACCAACGATGGAAATGAACCAACAGAAAATATTGGAAGGGTTTGGTAGGCACTGACCTTGAGTTTTGGAGTTATAGTTTACCTACACCCAGAGAGCACTGTGGACTCAAACAATAAAGGATCTGGACAAAAATTGGCAAGAATACTCCATATGCCCAAATATGAACACAGATGGAGGAAACAGACCTTGACATTTGGGAGTTGTAGTTACTGGGATTTATAGTTCACCCACAATCAAAGAGCATTCTGAACCCCACCAATGATAGAATTGGACCAAACTTTCCACACAGAACCCCCCATGACCAACACAAAATACTGTGTTTTCTGGTGATCTCTGATGACCCTTCTGACACCCACCCCCCCGTGACACCCCCCCCCCCCCCGGGTCCCGACCCCCAGGATGAGAAATGCTGCCTTAAGGCCAGCGAGTCCAACTCCCTTCACCAGGGCAAGAAAACATATCCAAAGCCCTCTTTTACTTTTCCAAATCACCAGACTGGGCCACAGCAACGCGTGGCAGGGGACAGCTAGTACATAAATAAATATTGTTGAGCTGCCATTGCAACACCTGCTGGGCCACAACCTTTCCACCCCAATCTGTGGAAATGTAACTCGAGGGAGATAAAATACAAGGGACACAAAGAGCTTGTAAAGCGAAAACAATTATATTTCTAACAGGTTTCAAGAGAGATGATGAAAGGAGACTTTGAAGATGAAATCAATTCAGAAGGATAAGGCTGTCCGAATCCATTTCCCTCAATTAGAAGTGGACTTTCCCCCTTTACCACATGATACTAAATTCAATAAAACTACACAGGTCAAACATGCAAATACAAATAGTCCTTAGTTGTCTGTAACACTTCTGCAGCGAGCAACTCAAATTCACCTTATAAGTATACTTTCCACATCTCAAAAGTGTGCAAATAGAAAACTCAGGATAATGTGAGCCAGCAATAGAGAAATAATATTGTATTTTCTCCTAGGGACTGTCGAAGATAGTTATCTCAAGAAGAGCAGGGCTGGCCCTTTTAAAGTGCTTCAAAACGAAGACTCGTCCCCAAGAGAGCCTATCTCACGCATATAGCTGGATTTGTCCTCCGAGTCCAGTGTCTCACCCGAAGGCTCTTCTTCCAACTCTGATGTCTCCTGGTCGCTGTAGCTCTTGCTCATTTCGCTTTCTAAGCTTCTCTGCAAAGAGCTTTCAGGAGACACTTCGCTCTCAGGCTCCACCACCTCTGCCATGTCTTCCACCTGATCCATGACTAAATTGGCCAGGGATCTTCGAGAGGCGGTTGACCGTCTTCCACTGACCTTCAGTCTTGGAGAGAAACAGAGATCGGCCATGGGCTCTTTGGTCTTTGGGGTTGACATATAGATCCGACCCATGTTGTTCGAGGCTGATATTTTCCCATGCTCGCTGTCATCGACAGTAACAGAATCATGTTGCTCCTCTTCATCATCTGAGACTATTCTTCTGATTGGCTTCTTCTTATATTTAAAAGAATTGTCACTATTGTCCATTGAAGCATCAGATAGCTTGTTAAAGCCTTCCAGAAGCGGAGACTCCGTCGCATCTTTCCTAGGCTGGAGGCTTCCGTTGCCTTCATTTTCTCCAGCCCAAGAATGCGATGCAGAGCTATGGTGACTGTCCAGCCGCAGCTGAAATCCTTCATTTTCCGTTTCCTCCAGTGATATTTCCTCTCCTGAAACAACTTGCGGTTCGTCTTCAGAGTCATCTAAGACAAGGTTGAAATCAGCTTGGTATGGGGAAGGCGTAGTGAAGGATTCATTTTCCAGCATCCTTTCAACGCTGTACTTTGAGGTATTATTGGTTTGTGCCTGAAATGGCACTGCAGCATCTAACTCATAAATTTCACCACCTTCTTCATACGGTTTTCTAACAACATCAGGAGATAGTTTAGTCTTTGTAAGTTTCTCATCATCACTAGAAGTCGGTGACTGGTGCAATGGTTCCACTTGGACATCATTAAAATTGACGCTTGCATCAGTAGAGAGATCACAGGGAATTGTTTGGGATTCAGGACTGCAATCTTCCTCATTTGATAACGAGGGAGCAGCAAGAAAAGATGGCATCCTTTTCACATCACAGTATTTCTCTAATTGGGATGATTTGTACTCCTCGTTCTTCGAAAGAGATATGTCCATGTCAGATTTGTTGTCCACATCTAGGGCAAGCGGATCATGGGAGGTTGGTTTGAATTCTGGATAGCAGCTCTCCTTGTTGGTTTGTGGGAAAGGGGACACCATGCTTTGATCTTGCTCTCGCTTACATTCTTGTAGCCTGGGTGATTTGCAATCTTCACTCTTGGAAACAGATAAATCCATGTCAGATTTGTTCCAAAGCTGTTCGTTGTCCACATCTTGGGCAAGCGGATCACTGGAAACCGTTTGGAATTCTGGATGGCAGCTCTTCTTATTGGTTTGAGGAAAAGGGGACACCATGCTTTGATCTTGCTCTCGCTTGCATTCTTGTAGCCTGGGTGTTTTGCAGTCTTCACTCTCGGAAACAGATACATCCATGTCAGATTTGTTCCAAAGCTGTTCGTTGTCCACATCTTGGGCAAGCGGATCATTGGAAATCGTTTGTAATTCTGGATGGCAATTCTCCTTGTTAGAGAAGGAGTTGGATCGAGGCGAAGGGGACACGGTCCTTTGATCATGCTCTTGCTCATATGATTGTGACCTGACTGATTTGTCTTCCTTCTTCTTGGAAAGGGATATATCCATGTTAGATATGTCCTGAAGCATTCGTTCGTCACCCACATCCTCAATAACTAGACTTGCCATTTTGGAGCTTACATTAACAATGCGACAATCGTTGCCGTCATCACTCATGTTGTCATCTTCATCATCAGCTACAAGATCGACCACTCCATCACCTGTGTGTTGAACAGATGCAGGTGAGGCATGATTCTGAGGAGGTTTGGGTGTTTTCTTCTTTGGCTGGGTAGACAATTCCATTTCTCTCAACCACGCTCCTTCGGTTGTGTTTCCCATGCTTTCTACCAACTGGTCTTTCAGTTGTGACTCTAGCTTCACCAACTCCTGGGCTTTTTGTACTCTGTGTTCAATGTATCGGTGATCTTCTTCATTCTCTGCTTCATCTTCGTTAGCCGTTTCATGCGTATACATCAAATCATGGTCCGAGATGCCAAATATTTTCAGCGAGTGGAGATACGCAATGTGCTCATCCAGCTGAGTGTCCGTGTTCCTTTGGGAGGAATGCAAGGACTGGAGCTGGAGTTGTGTCGATGAGCTTCGGGGATCTTCCAGCGTGAAGAGCTCTCTCAGTTCTTGATTGCTGAAATATCTATATGGGTTCTTCTTCTCTCCTGTGCTTTGCCGGATTAGAGAGTCCTTGAAGACTTGCCTGCGATAGATTTTCTCTTCTACCGTCCCGCAGGTAATGAGCCGGTAGATCACCACGTTGGCTTTTTGGCCAATTCTATAAGCTCTGTCCACAGCCTGAGCATCCGTCGCTGGATTCCAGCTCGGATCAAAGATCACCACTCTGGTTGCGGCCGTTAAGGTTAAGCCAACTCCACCTACTTGGGTCGTGAGCAAAAAGACGGAGTAGTCACTGTTCTTCTGAAACATCCCAATTCTTTTTTCTCGCTCCGTCAAATGAGTCACCCTTCCGTCGATGCGCATGAGCTTAAAACGCCTGCGCGTTAGAATGCGCTCAATAATATCTAGCATTTTCCTTGACTGAGAGAACACAAGCGTTCGATGGCCCTCCTCTTGGAGTCGGTCCAGCAGGGCCACAAGGAAAAGCAACTTCCCAGACTCCTCAATCAGAACCTGATCGGAAAGATGTTCAATGTCCTGGTGCAGAACCTCACTGGCTTCGTTTTCATCGCCATCCAGGTCATTATAACTGGATGTTTCCAGACCAAGTTGGTTGCAGGCTCTTGCAGATAGCAATCTGGGGTGATCACAGAGCTTCTTGAGGATGTTCAGTTCGGCCAATGGGGACCTTGTTGTCATCAGCAATTCCTTGATATGATCCAAAGAAATGAATTTCCGGTATATTTCTTCTTGTATGGGTGCCAAGTACACCCATACGATGAAGTCGTTTTTTCTGGGGAGAGAAGGCATTTCAGGAGCGGCATCCTTACTTCGAAGTTCAGGAAGGTTGTTTTGAAGTTCAGGGTTAACTGTCTTCTTCAGCTCGTCTTTGCTGCGCCTCAGGAAATAGGGCTTGGTGATGGACATCAGGTTTTCGGAGATCTTGAGGCCCAGCGCCTTCTCTCCTGGCGTCGCATCCTTCGCTCTGGCTCTGGTGATCGGATTCTCATACTCCATCCGAAAGGTTTTCATGGTCCCAAGTAGTGAGCCTTGGCAAGCAAAGTCAAACAGGGCCCAGAGTTCTTTCAAGTTGTTTTGGACCGGGGTCCCTGTGAGGAGGATGCGGTTTCTGGAAGGGATGGCGTGTGCCGATTTGGTTGTTTTGGCCGACGGAGTTTTAATTTTGTGCGCTTCGTCAAGAATGACATAGTCCCAAATGAATTCCTGATTGCCAAAGCTGGCAAGCTGTTGCCAATTGTTGAGCAGCATTTGGTATGTTGTGATGAGGACGCCATGCCTCCTCTGGATCCGCTCAAGATTTCTGTTGCGTTCAGCTATGCAGGTCCCATGAAAGACTTTCACCCGCAGCCCGGGAGTCCAGCTGGAAAACTCTTTTGTCCAGTTGCTAATGAGGGTGGTTGGCACAATTAGCAGCACGGATTGGATATGTTCCGCATCAAACATGCCTGAAAGGAAAGCAATGATCTGAATGGTCTTCCCCAGGCCCATGTCGTCGGCCAAGATGCCTCCTTTCCTTCCATCTCTGTATAAGCCGTATAAGAAGGCCACCCCTTCTCTTTGGTGCTCAAACAGCTTGTCGTACATTTCCCCGTACATCATCAACCCGCTCTGACACACATCCACAAAGCCATCCTCCTCTTGGTCCAGGGCCAAAGAAGCCAAGGCTTCCTCCAACTTTTTGATGTTCTGGATCAGCTTTTCGCTGGGGTGGATTTGCAAAGCTTTTCTGAACAGTTGGATGGATTCCTCCAGGTTCCCATTACGGGCCTCTTGCTTTCCCTCGGAGACATATCTGTAAAATATAATGCCGTTCACAAAGTCAGAAAGCCCCACACAAAAAGTTAAGGAAAGCATTCAAGAAAGTTTTCCTGAATTTTTCAAGCCACGTGGCAAAATGAACTTTCCCAGATTTTGTTGTTATTTTTCTTTTTGAAAACAGGAATTTTTAGAAAACCCCAAAAACATATAAAAATAGCACCCTCTATACATTAATAGTTATTCTATAAGCATTAAATATATTATGAATCACTGAGTTGATGTGAGTTTTCTGGGCTGTGCTGGCCATGTTCCAGAAGCATTCTCTCCTGACATTTTGCCCACATTTATGGCAGGCATCATCAGAGGTTTTGAGGTCTGTTGGAAACTAGGCAAGTGGGGTTTATATATCTGTGGAATAATGTCAAGGGTGGGAGAAAGAACTCTTGTCTGTTGGAGGCAAGTGTGAATGTTGCAATTGGTCACCTTGATTAGCATTGAATGGCCTTGCAGCTTCAAAGCCTGGGGAAATTCTTTGTTGGGAGATGTTAGCTGGCCCTGGTTGTTTTCTGTCTGGAATTCTTTTGTTTTATGAGTGTAGCTCCTTATTTATTGTCCAGATTTTAGAGTTTTTAATACTGGTAGCCAGATTTTGTTCATTTTCATGGTTTCCTCCTTTCTGTTGAAATTATCCACATGCTTGTGGATTTCACAAATCATTGAAGCTATTGAAATCCACAAGCATGTGGACAATTTCAACAGAAAGGAGGAAACAATGGAAATGAACAAAATCTGGCTACCAGTATTAAAAACTCTAAAATCTGGACAATAAATAAAGAGCAACTCATAAAATGGGGGAATTCCAGATAGAAATCAATCTTGAGTATGTGGGGCAACTAAAAATAAAACATGTTGTTTTAATGTTTTTATTTATCCCTGTAAAAACAAATATACCATAACTCACTGGTCATTATTTTCCACAGACAAAAAAAGGCTTTCAAAAATGGGGTGTGTGCATTTTCAAAATGTTGAATGTTTAAGATTTAGACTTAGCTTCCCATCATCATCATCATCATCATCATCATCATCATTATTATTAAAATGCCTCATTCATTTCAGGGCTTACTCAAAGAATGACTCAGCTCAGTATTACGAATTGATGACAGGTAAGGCAGAATACATTTTCCAAAATAACATAGGGAAGCCAGTGCCAAGAATGCAGGAGGAGTCACTCCCAGACTGGAGAGTTATCTGGATTTATAGAATTATGTTATTCAATACAATATTTTAATAAGGGTGCATCTATACTATATCTATATAAATAAAAATATAATGTTCGTTTGTGGGATTAACAGTACTGAAAAACCACTGGGGGAATTGACACCAAATTTGGACACGATACACCTAACAACCCAATGTATGTCCTTCACTCAAAATTTTTTGATTTTGTCATTTGGGAGTTGTACTTGCTGGGATTTATAGTTCACCTACAATCAAAGAGCTTCTCTGTGTAGTCTGACATGGTGGTTGTTGGTGCCTTTCAAGGAACATGAAAGGCACTGCAGACTCCTTCAACCAGAGAAATCAGCCATAGCAGAGCACCTGATGAACCAACCTGGACACAGCATATTATTTGAGAACACAGAAATGCTGGACCACTCTCACAACCACCATGTCAGACTACACAGAGAAGCCACTTGAAATCCACAAGCATGTGTACAATTTCAACAGAAAGGAAGAGACCATGAAAATGAACAAAATCTGGCTACCAGTATTAAAAACTCTAAAATTACAACAGCAAAACAACAGAGAGGAAACAACCAGGCACATCTTAACACCTCCCAGCAAGAGATTTTCCCAGGCTCAGGCAGGCCTTCAAATGCTAATGAAGGTGGTCAGTTGAAACATTCACACCTAGCTCCAGCAGAGAAGAGCTCTTTGCCCCACCCCAGTCATTCCACAGATATATAAACCCATTGTCCTATTTCCAACAGACCTCACTACCTCTGAGGATGCTTGCCATAGATGCAGGCGAAACGTCAGGAGAAATGCCTCTAGAACATGGCCCTATAGCCCGAAAAAACCTACAAGAACCTAATATTTATTATTATTAATAATAATAATAAATAATTATTATTATCCTCATCATTGTTATTATTAGGACTGTATCCAAACGGCCAGTCTTTAAGCCCAGCAGTTGCCTTTACCTCCGGTACTGCTCCGCTTGCACAGGATCCTCCATGACTGCCCAAAAACGAAGAAACGAAACTACTGCTCTACTCAGTATCAAACATTCAAATTCCCGCGCCAACCTCGCCTCTCTCGCGCCTGCAGCCAATCACCGAGCTGCTCGCGACGGATTGGTGGAGCCGCAGCCACTCAGCTCGCTCTGAACGCAGGGCGGGTGACGTCATTGAGGAGGAAGCAAACTTCCCTCTTTTAGCAAGTTCCCAAGCTCTGCCCCGCCCCCAAGGCGTTTTGGACTATAACTCTTTGGCAGAGGAAGTTAAAGGTTTTGAAAGACTATAACTCTGGAGTTATATGTATTGTCGAAGGCTTTCATGGCTGGAATCACTCAGTTCTTGTGGGTTTTTTCAGGCTATATGGCCATGTTCTGGAGGCAATTTTTCTCCTGACGTTTCGCCTGCATCTATGGCAAGCATCCTCAGAGGTAATGAGGTCTGTTGGAAGTAGGAAAAATGGGTTTATATATCTGTGGAATGACCAGGGTGGGACAAAGGACTTTTGTGAGTTGGGCTAGGTGTGAATCTTCCAACTGACCACCTTGATTAGCATACAATGGGCTGACTGTACCTGGAGCAAACTTTTCTTGAAAGGTGATTAGATGTCCCTGCCAGTTTTTCTCTCTGCTGTTTTTGCTGTTGCAATTTTAGATTTTTTTTAATACTTGTAGCCAGATTTTGTTCATTTTCATGGTTTCCTCTTTTCTGTGGATATTGTCCACATGCTTGTGGATTTCAATGGCTTCTCTGTGTAGTCTGACATGGTGGTTGTGAGAGTGGTCCAGCATTTCTGTGTTCTCAAATAAAATGCTGTGTCCAGGTTGGTTTATCAGGTGCTCTGCTATGGCTGATTTCTCTGGTTGGAGTAGTCTGCAGTGCCTTTCATGTTCCTTGATTCGTGTGTTGGGCAATGCTGCTGCGTTTGGTGGTCCCTCTGTACACTTGTCCACAGCTGCATGGTATACGGTAGACTCCTGCAGAGGTGAGAGGATCCCTCTTGTCCTTTGCTGAACGTAGCAGTTGTTGGATTTTCTTGGTGGGTTTGTAGATTGTTTGTATGTTGTGTTTCCTCATCAGCTTCCCTATGCGGTCAGTGGTTCCCTTGATGTATGGCAGGAACACTTTTCCTCTGGGTGGATCTTCATCTTTACTCTCGTGGCTTGTTCTTGGTCTTGCAGCTCTTCTGATGTCTGAGGTGGAGTATCCATTGGCCTGGAGAGCCCAGTTGAGGTGGTTCAGTTCATCTTGGAGGAGGTGGGCTTCGCAGATTCTTTTTGCACGGTCTGCCAAGGCTTTAATGGTGCTTCTTTTTTGACTTGGGTGATGGTTGGAGTTTTTATGTAGATATCTATCTGTGTGTGTGGGTTTTCTGTAGACGGTGTGACCCAATTGTTGATCTGGTTTACGGAGTTTGCTCCAGGCACAGTCAGCCCATTGTATGCTAATCAAGGTGGTCAGTTGAAAGATTCACACCTAGCCCAACTTACAAAAGTACTTTGTCTCACCCTGGTCATTCCACAGATATATAAACCCCTTTTTTCCCAGTTCCAGCAGACCTCACCTCTGAGGATGCTTGCCATAGATTCAGGCGAAACGTCAGGAGAAATCCCTCTAGAACATGGCCATATAGCCCAAAAAAACCCACAAGATCTGGAGTTATAGTTTTCCAAAGCCTTTAACTTCCTCTGCCAAAGAGGGCTGGTGCCTCACCCAAATTCATATCTCCAGTATTCAATGACATCTAGCCAGGGCTGATTGCTGCCAGGGGGAATCCTTTGTTTGGAGGTGTTAGCAGGCCCTGATTGATTCTTGCCTGGAATCAGGGCCAGCTAACACCTTCCAACAAACGATTCTCCCAGGCAGGAAGCAGCCAGGCTTTGAAGCTGCAAGGCTATTCAATGCCAATCAGAACTGCCACTCTGGGCCAGAGTGAGTTGGGGGTGGGGGGGCAGGGGACTGTTTGCAGGCTGGGTGATACATGAACCCTGCAGTTACATCCATCTTCCAATATATTATATTATGTTATATTATATATGTGGAAACTCTATTTTGCAGGCTGGGTGATACATGAACACTGCAGTTACATCTGTCTTCCATTATATTATAATATAATATATATAAAAATGTGGAAGCTCTAGTTTTCAGGCTGGGTCATACATCAATCCTGCATTTACCTCTGTCTTCCTCTATATTATATTGTTAGAGACCCTTGATTGGGTCTTTCCAGGTCCCAGTCGCGGGAGTGCGGAAGGAAAGAGACAGTCCCATTGAAAGATTAAAAAAAACAAGGTTTTTATTTTAGTTTCTTCATGAAGAAACGACGGACAGCCAGCAGATGTTGCCCTTCAAAATGACTGCTGCCCCTCTCCCTCGAAATATGCAAACTTTTATAGCTCCGTACAAACAGAAGACATCGGGAAAACACCTTTTATGAATAATAATTCTGACCTTTTTGATGGAAAAGTACGCAGCCTCTGCGCTTTGAAAACAACAATTTTAACCTTTTGACAAAGGGAAATACAGGAAACCGCAACTACTTCCTGTCTGCGCTCTGTTCCATTTATGAAGAGCTTATTGCTAAAATTGCTGGTTTTGTTTGCTTTTTCCCAAAAGCCCCTTATTCAGAGACCCTTGAGGCTTTTGTTTGCCTTTACCCAAAAGCCCCTTACTCAGAGACCCTTGAGGCCTACTTCAGTGATACATTACATTGCATTGCATTGCATTAATGTGGAAGCTCTAGTTTACCGGTTGGGTGATACATTGCATTGCATTGCATTAATGTGGAAGTTCTCGTTTGCAGGTTGGGTGATATTGTATTGTATTGTATTGCATTGCATTAATGTGGAAGCTCTAGTTTACAGGTTGGGTGATGCATTGCATTGCATTGCATTACATTAATGTGGAAGCTCTAGTTTACAGGTTGGGTGATGCATTGCATTGCATTGCATTAATGTGGAAGCTCTAGTTTACAGGTTGGGTGATACATTGCATTGCATTACATTACATTGCATTGCATTAATGTGGAAGCTCTAGTTTACAGGTTGGGTGATGCATTGCATTGCATTGCATTGCATTAATGTGAAAGCTCTAGTTTGCAGGTTGGGTGATACATGAACCCTGCAGTTACCTCCGTCTTCCTCTAGGGGGAGTGTGTTAATGAAACGAAAGCAAGCGTATTGAGGATGCAAGTGTGTGTGTATGACCGAGAGAGAGAAATAGCGTTGTCATTGGCTGGGAGTCTCGCGCATGCGCAGTCGTGGATCTCCCTCCTATATTGGTATTGCTTTGTTTCCTTTCAGTCTGTCAGCTGCGCCACGTGACAGGATGTCGGGGGCGGGCGCTGAGAGTGTCAGGGCGGCGGCAGCCGGAAGCAGGAAGCAGGAAGTGGCATCGCTGAGGGAAAAAAAGACACAAACAAGCAGGCCTTGTTTCGGGAGCAGCGCTGGAAGGAGATCCCCTCGGTTCTCGACGCCGGGTTTGAAGCGCCGCCATGTCCAGCATGGAGAGTATCCTTTGGGGCTCTTTGCAAAGTAACTCAAGCGAGGAGAGAAGGCCTCGATTGGGAGGGAGGAAAGGGAGGTGTTTCCTAGCCTGGCCCTGAAGGCTCTTTATAGCCTTGTGTGGGTTTAGGAGAGGGTTTTTACTGCTGTTGTTGTCTGTATTCATGGAATAATAGCGCTGGAAGAGACCCCGTTGGCCATCTAGTCCAACCCCCTGCCATACAGGAAAAGCATAACCAAATCACCCCCGACAGATGGCCATCCAGCCTCTATTCAAAGGGAGGAGCAGGGAGTTCCACTGTTGAACAGCTCATAGGGTCAGGAACTTCTTCCTAATGTTTAGTCAAATCATGATTCCTATCATGTATTGTCGAAGCCACACCAAACAACTGCCAGGCCATCAAATGCTAATCAAGGTGGTCAATTGAAACATTCACAGGTAGCTCCAACGTACAAGAGTTCTTTGCCCCACCATGGTCATTCCACAGATATATAAACCCATTTTCCTAGTTTCAACAGACCTCACTACCTCTGAGGATGCTGGCCATAGATGCAGGCGAAATGTCAGGAGAAAATGCCTCTAGAACATGGCCATATAGCCCGAAAAAACCTACAACAAGCCATTCCTATCATGGCCTGCATCAATAGATCCAGAGACTCATACAATCAAAGAGTTGGAAGAGACCTCATGGGCCATCCAGTCCAACCCCCTGCCAAGAAGCAGGAATATTGCATTCAAATCACCCCTGACAGATGGCCATCCAGTCTCTGTTGAAAAGCTTCCAAAGATGCTACCCCTCTATTCTGCCTTGGTTAGACCACACCTGGAATATTATGTCCAATTCTAGGCATCACAATTTAAGGGAGATGTTTACAAGCTGGAATGTGTCCAAGGGAAGGTGACTCAAATGATCAGGGGTCTGGGGAACAAACTGTATGAGGAGTGGCTTAAAGAGCCGGACATGTTTAGCCTTCAGAAAAGAAGGCTGAGAGGAGATAGCCATGTATAAATATGTGAGAGGAAGTCATAGGGAGGAGGGAGCAAGCTTGTTTTCTGCTGCCTGGGGGCTAGTACGCAATGAAATAATGGCTTCGAACTACAAGAAAGGAGATTCCATCTAAGCATTAGGTAGAACTTCATGACTGTGAGAACCGTTCAGCAGTGGAACTCTCTTCCCCAGAGTGTGGTGGAGGCTCCTTCTTTGGAAGCTTTTAAACAGAGGCTGGATGGCCATCTGTCAGGGATGCTTTGAATTTGATTTTCCTACTTCTTGGCAGGGGGTTTAATTATTTATTTATTTACGACATTTATATGCTGCCCTTCTCACCCCGAAGGGGACTCAGAGCGGCTTACAAGATATATATACATACAATATTATTAGCATAGTACAATATCAATTGTAAATATTGCTATATTGTACTATACCAATTATATTGTAATATTATTAGTGTTATCACATGTAATATAAATATATAATTATAATATCATAGTAGTAGTATTATATTGCATTACATTATAATATTATAAATATTATATGTATATACAATATATTGTATTATATTATATACTTTAGC